AAAAAAAAAAAAAAAGAAATTGTGTAACTAAAAATAAGCGTTTTCGCTTCTAGCACAGAAATTTCACTTCAGCAGCGATTGGAGTACATTGCTCGAGCCATTCTTAGTGCGAAAAGTTCCACTGCTATTTCATCAATAGCTGCCGATGGTGAATTCCTTCATGAATTAGAAGAAAAAATGGAGGTAAGCGCTAAAGATCTTAAGCTGTGTCCACGTTGAGTACTAGCCACATAGTTTTTCCACATTCCATTCTTCCCTTGGTAAGTAATAGGTCTGTAGAAGTCATTATTATTCTAGTTGCTTTTGCCTGTTTATTTTTATGTTTAGATACAAATCTTAAAGAGATTTCTAAGGATACACTTGGGTCATAAAAACATTGCTATAATTTAGAAGTTTTCTCTTTGGCATGTAGTTGACTTAAAAATATTGTATTTTCCTTATCAGGAACATTATCTGTAGGTGGTTAGAAAATTTTTCTGAATAACTATATAATTTCTAGGTTGCTTCTCCATTTCTGGAGCCCCATCTAGTCCGAATGGCCAAAGTTGATCAAAACAGAGTTCGTTATATGGATTTACTCTGGCGGTATTACGAGAAGAATAGAAGTTTCAGTAATGCTGCTCGTGTACTGTCCAGACTGGCTGACATGCATAGGTATGGCATAATATTTTCATTGTGAAGAATGATTGAAAACTGAGCTATATGTACTTACCTTCAGTTTTCCTTAATTTTAGAAGAATCTAAGTTTTAATATACTGACCTAAATTTTTTAAATAGGATGTTATTTTTTAGACATAAAGTATTTCTTTGTGTGTTGTCTAAAATTGTGGATCTTTCTTATTAGAAATCTAAAATAGATTTTTTTTTAATCTAATGCTTTTTTTCAAGTTTCAGATGGCCTTTTATGTGCATTTGGTATGAAACAGTACATACTAATTGACATATTTGTATCTTCAATCCTTAAGAAATTGTGTAACTTAGGTGGGAACTGAACAATGAGATCACTTGGACTCAGGAAGGGGAACATCACACACCGGGGCCTATCATGGGGAGGGGGTAGTGGGGAGGGATTGCATTGGGAGTTATACCTGATGTAAATGACGAGTTG